CTAGCCATTGATGTGGCCCGTCTCGGGGTCCCCATCCAGGAAGACGGCAGTGACCAGCGCAGCTGAGTTTGCTGGTAATGGCTTTCATACTTCGCTGCCAAGTCATTGTTTGACCGCCTCTGGCTCTCTTCCACCCTTCACATGGTTGGGCGAAAAGAGCCCTTCGAGGAAGTCGGTCGACTGGCATACGCAGCACGTGGCCAAGCCAAAGCAACCTGTGCAGTGTGATCATGGGACGAACAGCAAAACTTGATGCTCTGACGTAACATTTTTGTAGGGCGTTGAGAACCAGGCATGAAATAATAGCGAACAAGGTATGTGGCGGTTGGACACTAGCTGAGAGCACCTGGAACTAATGGGTGCCTGGTAGCCGATATGCATTCACCGTGCACACATTTGGATATCTGCACATAGTAAGTTGGTTTATGTGGAGCCGAATGCTCCGCTACATGCAAACTGCTGATGTTGAGAAAGTCCGGTGAACAAACTTACTGAGGCTCATTGCCAAGCACAATCTGAGTGTGGTGACTTGGCAATCAATATCGAATATGATTATGCATCGTACAGAAAGACGGTTTTTTCAAATTACACATGATTTCCAATTATAAATGTGCTGTACCCAACAGAGCCGTTAGAAGAAAACAGTCGATCGAGCTCCGAATGATATATGATGAAAACATAACCTGTGGATCAACATGACAAGTGGTGGATACCTGGAAAATATATAACCGAAGATGGTAGTCCATATTTGAACGGATATTCTGGTTCAAATAGTGTGCAAATGGAGAAACATGGCTGGCTACAAACGATAAGTGGAACTCAAATTAGGGAAGTCTGATAAATATGATATGAGGAAGAAATACAGGGAACTAAAGGGTAGGGGAACAAAAGAAAAGTAAGGCGCCGTCAATGTAGTTGAGTCGCATAACTCGAATTAGATACCACAGCAGAATGGGACAGACAGTAAATGTGGAAAACTACTGGACCGAATGCTACAGCAGATATAGACGGATGTGACAGAGGATAACGAAGATAAATGAGAGCCTGTGAACGGAAAACCCTGCACGGTTGGCGCTGTAACGATCTATCGGCAGGGAGTGGTAATTTCAATGCTGGAACGAAAAATGAATGAAATCAGACTTTTTAGATTAGTCAAAGTGGATATGATAATTAATATGAAGTTGCGAGGTGACTTCGTTTAGCAAATCCTATTCCGTCGCAAAGCGTGTAAAAAAACAAGAGAAACACACTTCGAAACTTTTTACACCATTTATAGAGGTTGATAAAACCAAGACACTTAGATTAAAACTAAGGCCCTTCTGAGATGAGAGGAGAGGCCTGAAACGACCAAGCAAAATCACCTGAAGGAACTACAGTTGGTTTAGTCTTCTGCTACGTACCAAGACCCATAGCGAAAGATGGTGTTCAACTCTGTATCACTCAGATGCTTGGAGATCCGAGACAGTTGACGGTGTACGGAGTTTGTGGGCACATGCTATCTTCCCAGCGTTTCAGGCGTCCCGTCAGTTCTACCGATGTATGTACCACCGCAAATGCAGACGAACTAATAAATGCAGCGACTGGTTGATAAAACGGACGTTGGAAGCAACGGTGTGTACATGTGCACGCATGCAGGTTCAGTGCCCCTTCGCACAGGCCAAAAGTATGGTTACCAGTGTAGTGAACGTCAATATGAGTGCAGTATGTTGGTACCATGATTTGCGTCTTCGACTTATCACCCGAAAAAAAGGTGTTTTTCGATGAGGCAGTCAATACCGCTGTCTGAACGCAGCATAAATTTATACAACTTAATTTTTTAAGTGTTTGCATCTGAAGTGAAAATCTGTCTAGTCCAGTAAACTTATGTTGGACTAAAGAAGATAGGTTCCCTACCAGAACGTTGGAAAACTCCTCGTCCAAAATCACAGGCGAATAGACCGCTAAAACCATAGTCGATTTGTCTCTCACAGTCCACGACGAATAGAATATCACCTAAATCTCCCCCCATACGAAGGCACTTGATGTGAACCAGTTTCCGCAGATCAACCAAGCTCGGTCATAAAAATATCACCTAGAAATGGTTTCAAGGGACTCCTCGTGGTAAGATGATGAAGGTGCCTCAGAAACAAGATTTGATCTTCTTAGTACACCGCACAATGATATCTCTAACATGGATCGTAAATTTGACGAGACAATAATCCTTAAACAATCTAGTTTCAGTACGACGAACATTGGTGAAACCAACTAGATACGTGTTTCAAACAGCGTTTGGTGAAACCTATCTTGAGGGCTCTAACAGTATACACTAGCCATTTACCTGAATGAACACGGGACGAACTGTTCGCAGTTAGAATTGGTCGGCGGGTGGTGAGGCAATGAGATCCCAAGGAACAAAAGTGTATGAGAACCAACAGGGTTAGGCGTGTCACATAAAGTGAGAGAAAAGCTATGTAAACAAAGAATATGATTCTCGCAGACAATTTGGTTCTCCATAGATACTAGTTTATGCGGTCCTTTATCTAGAGGGTAAATTTAATAGGACACACAAGAAACGGGCACAAAATGACAACTGTCTCAATCAGTCGAATGAGTTTAAAACTTTCGACAGTGACCTCACATGGCTGCATCGAGTTTCCCACTATTCTAACAAACACTTCGATGATATTCAAAGTGGAGAACGATATGATATGATGCGTGCGTATGTGATGGGATAATTTTCAGACACCGGATGGAGTTGATCTAAATGTGAATAGCCAAAACGGTATTGTCCGTTAAGCCCTGGCAAATAGGACCACAGATTTGAACATTATATGAGGAGACTGGGTTTCCCCATTAAGATGTTGTGAAAATATTTGGATTGTCACCGGTATTAACCGACTAAAACCAGAGGAATTGTTGCATCATTAGCGGTCAAACACAGATTTTATCTACCGGACTTTGCAGCGAGAATTTAGGATATGGCGGAAAGCCTATGTGAAGAGCGCGCAGTGCCCAGCGTTCTGTCAAGCTTCCGAAACCCGTAACGTGAGACTGCATTCAAGGGTGAGATGCTTGGGCACCGTGACAATACAAGCCAAAAAGTTTTCCCGCATAAATGAAACGTTCTCGGGACTGTTCAGATGACCAGGAAAAGTCCGCCCCGGAAGAAACGCCTTCTGGCGTATCGACGAGTGACGTTATTGATCCAGACAGTTTATATGAAGGACGCTGAACGTGGTGGCGTAGCAACGTCATCAGTTGATACACTACAGCCGGAATGCGTATTCCTGTATTTGTACCGTTCCCCCGGAAACCAAGGAAAATTTGTCTTAAAGTTTCAGGCAACATTGCCTTGGGTAGTCCAGCTAGTTTCGAACAGAACATTGATGAGTCACACCACATCTAAACCTAAAAGGCAAATAACATATTATCCAACTTGAAAAAACAGTGCTGTTTTGGCGAAACACTCATTCGCAAATTATGTTGGTGTTGACGAGACATTCAGAGGAACCTCTCATTGAATGTGCTATACAAAGACCGGTGCAATTGGAACGAAATTCGAGATATCGCATTACCTTTTCTTGATCTGACTGATATTTATAAAGAGTAATTTCGGGATCAGTTAAAATGCAGAGAAGAATCAAGTGATGGTCGCATTCACATCTAAGGGGAGATAGTTCTGTGAACAACAGAACATGGTAAGGTGATGAAAGTGCAGTTCTCGTCAAACTTAGGGCATCTGTCTCTGACGTTCATTCATTCATTACTCGTCTTGATAAACATATTATTTACTGGACATTTAGCTGGACAATAGTTCCATAAATTGTTAATCAGCCGAATTCTATCATTCTTCTTGACACCAAGTGCCGCTGCAGCGAGTTTTTTTGAGGTGGAACACCCACGTGGTCAACAGAAATTAGCATCTCGTTGGAAAGGATCATTTTCGGTAGTGATGCGATCTTCGTAATCATGCACCGGGTGGGTTATTCCATTTTTCGACGATTTCCCAACATCCTTAGTTCTGCTTGAATTGACCGGATCTATAGCATAATTAGAGAGAGACAAAATGAGTGGAACCAATTGCATGTAGTTGATGACACGACCCCACAATGTTCTAATTCCCGCCGAGCTGATCTATTCCATATTGTCTGATCACATCTTCTTGGTGGGTCGCTGGTGATTTCCTTCATAACAATAACTATCAACTACAAGTCAACTTAGTGGATTTATCGGTGTACTTTCCAAGTAGGGAATGACTCAAACGAACTGAGATGCTTAATATATGTCTCGTTCACGTTACTAACCTAATGCAGTAAGCACGTGGGAGCAAATTAAAGAACCACACGTGGAGAGCGCTGTCTGGAAGCAGCGATACAGTTCTCTGGAGTTTTATTGTCTTTAGGTGTTTCCCGTTTAATGATCTGCCGATGTCTCGCGTCCCCTGACCATTCCCATGATCTTTCTGCTGAAGCCGACATACTTTCCGGTCATTAAACATCACTGGGCCAGATCTGATTGCGTTGTAATAAAAATTCGGCATTGGAGCTAACCTTCCCAATCGAATCAGTGTTCAGTTTTCGAGTAATACAGATATGGGAATTTATAGCTTAGACAGTTTGCTAGAACCAATGACAGCCTTCCTGTTATCCTACGGCCGATTGACTCTGTGTCTACTAATACATTCGGTTTTCTTTGATACACTATGCCAACTCTTGCTTCAAGGTGTGTTTAACCTGAAACAGTTTGCCTTGTATGGTATACTTGGAATGTCATCATCTGGTATCACGTGATAAGTTTTCTCAATCGATAACTTACTGAAACGCCGGAAATCTTGCGATTTTGTTTATCGGATTACTCCCCAGATCGTGGGTTTTATCGCTCTCAAAACTGTGCGCCCTTAAAATTGCTGAATGTAAACTTCCTGTTCGACGTAGTCAACCGGTAATTATGGCAGTAATTTCAGCTTAGGTCCGTTGTACGCTTGTTCGAAACCAAACTGGAGTACATATGCACTAGCTTATTTGATTTGTTGGTTGGCATTGGCTGGTAGGGGGAAAGGTGGCTCAGTGGACAGAGCGCGAATTTACTGACCGGAAGTTCCGTGGTTCGAATCCGACCTCTGCCTCTCGAATTCCCATGTCTAGGCTGAGGCAACCTGGCAGTATCCCAGCCCTCGTGCAAACTCCGGGTGGTATGGCAGCTAGGCACCGAAAAGGTGCTACGGCTGAACGATTCTTTTTTCAGTTCTGAGTAGTTGGAGCAACCCAACCACCAGCGAACACCAGTCGTTGCCAAGTGAAACTTACTACATGCCCTCAGGTTGTTGTTTGTTATCTAAACGGTAGACTAGCAAGTGGTTTTCGTGACTGTACAGTTAGACAACTTGCACGGCTTTAGTGGTTTGGCGAGGTTATAACTTTTTGTGAATTTCTGGTGAAGCGACCACATGAAATAGTTCTTTGGAAGACGTCATATCACAAGGCAAACGGAAATCATTGGTTCAATCAAGGAGGATGTGCAGAGACATTGCACACCTAGTGCGTCCGGGACTTTCCAGTCGCTCGAAGGGTTATTTCAATATGTATCAGCAGCGAAAAACAACACTGGAAAAGAGAATTGGTGCTTAAATCCCGTACAACCATGTTAATTTATTTGGATACGGCCTGATAATGAAAACAAAGGTGGTGCGCTAGCCTACCACAAACACAACCTAAACCTTTACTACTCAGCCGAACAATCCAGGCGAAATATAATGGCATGGACGTCATTGACATCGATGAGTTTCCATAACCTTCTTTCAATGTCGCCAGCCAAGCGCAGAAAGGGCCAGGTGAGCCCCCAATTTGGAAGGCACACAACACTCATTCTTTTCGTACCATCCTTCAGTGCTCTACACTAAGTCCACTCGCCACTCCAAACAGGACAGGGACACTTATTGTTAGACGGGAATTCGGCATGCGCGGCGAATGAGTGAGCAGTTCTAGCTTGCACTGCTGGATGCAGACTTCCAGAGACGTAGTGCACTCGCTTCTAATCTAACCATCGGCAGATTCACATGTAGACATCAGAAAGTGAAATACGCAGGAGATTTAATAATTCCGAAGGCAACAGTAAGAGGCGAGAAAATGAATGTTGGTATTCTGAACGGTTGCCTAAGACCGTACAGCTTTGGTCGGTTGAAATGCCCAACCGGTTTACAAACGGACGCGAGTGACTACATGGCGTCTCCAGCCAAAGTGTACCTAAGTGAAAACAATCTAAAAAATGAGGTCCGGAGTGTTCAACGTACCTTTGCAGCTGAATTTAGTCAGACTGACTGGACAGTCAGATTACTGAACAGTAGCAGTCCACGCCAAAGTTACGCAAAGTGATAGATATCGTCTGAACACACAGTACACTCTGAAAAAAACTTGAACGTGCTACCACAGAGTACAGAGACACTCCAAAGTCCACTGAATTTACATCTCTCTGTGCTGCTTTCTTTATTTTCCGGGTGCTTGACTGCTGCACATAAACAGCAAAATCCTATGGCCAATTACCCGTTCACCTTTATTCCACTGGTAACTCTCATTTAGGAAGTAAGAGCGCCCACTTAGACACAAACCTTTTCAACTGTTGTTCCGGGGCGCATCGAACAGGCAAGAGTGGTCTCCTAAATCATATTCAAAGTGGACAAGAAGCGTTCGACAGTCGTAAACGCTTAGGTCAGAAAAAGCTGAAGTACGGAATCCACTTGTCATACAGAGGACAGTGAATACACACGTTCGGATGCAGGTCGATGGGATTCAGGACTCGATGCTCACTTACCTGTCATGTGATCGCCGGTTTATGTGATAGGTCGTTTCTAGAGGAAAGAAAGTGTATATACACATACATAGTCCAATCTGACGAACAGGTGAAGCGAATAAACAAGGGGTCATAAGGTGACCAATGGCGCTAACGCCATCCTAAATTTGGATAGTTCGGACCAAGCGCACTAGGCATTACAGACTAACGATGGTTTTGCACAATAATCCACCAAATTGGTGAACAGTTGTCTGTAACCAGGAGATGGTGTCCCGATAGAAGTGCGGAGGCACTAACAACGAAAAATACTGCCCAAGCAACGTCAGTTGAATGGGTGTTGGATGCCCCGAGCCTACTCCTGGTTTCCATGTGAGTTACTGAAAACACAAAGAAACACTGCTTTCCTTGAACCTTCTCATCAATATCCTGACGTGCAAAGGACGTCTTCTAAATGACTTTAGTCATCAACAAAACGTGCCGCCTGACCAAACGTGGGCTTTTCCACCCGAAACCTAGGATCGGCTGACAGAAGTATGCTGGCTAATGTTCTCAGTCAAAAGGGTGTGGAAGTGGAAGAAAAAAAGATGAGCAGAAATTTCCACAGCTTGTGACTTCCTCGAAGATCAGGTACTCAAAGTGTGGGACTCAGTAAGTAGGAAAAATGTTTGATGAGCACAAACTGTCGAAATTTGTGGATGAGCCCACAGGCATATTGATACAACCATGAAGAGTAGAGTCATTCCCTGAGGTAGCCAGAAAGGAGGAATTTGCGGTCAAAAAAAAAATAAATAACATCCAATTGGTCAAAGAAGCCCAGCCGGTTCGAGATGAAAATGCGAAACTCCCAGAGAAAATCAGTAGTAGATGTCGTTACGTTACGAGCCGCTGAAGCGACAGAATCAATTCGATTGTCTGAGCAGTAGAGTACGAAATACTGGTCGAATTCCAGAGTCACAGTTGACGTGGGAAGGGAAAGCACAGTCCACTACTTGCCACATTGAGTTTCCAAACGTATTCGCTTCTGATTTAGCTGTGACATGATTGCTTTGTAGACGGTCAGGGTCAGTCGGCCTTTGATCGAAATATCCAACTGTTCCAACCTCAGTACCGACTGAAATAAACGGGCTTTGCTAGTTGGACAGCCGAGGATCAAATGTACGCCGTAAAACTTTTGACAATTGGGTGAAGGATGCCGGCTTCGGGAATGCTGTCAGCTTGTAAAGCATTAAGTCATCCTAGATTGTATTACGTGATAGCCCCCACATGCTTAAGATCCAGGCGCAACCGATGCTGGGGACCGAGTTTTCTGTCATGCTAATCTTTCTTGAAGCAAAACCTGTTGCTTCAAGTAAGTATGCCGTCTAGCTTCATCGAATGAAGCGTAGTCATGTTTCTTCCCCATTTTTCTTATCCACAAATTAGAATTTTTAGAAACACTGAATTCATACTTTATCTCCTCTGTAGTTCGGGCTCCCGAAGAGAGCGACGATGGAAATAGCTCTCTTGCACCGATCTCCCTTCTCGTAGACGCAGAGTAATTTCAATTATATATATATATATATA